ATCTTGTCCCTCTGATCGAAAGGCTGGGGACCCCACAGGTAAAGTGTGCTGTGGCTCTGTGAATTGCAACTAGGTATCCACATCAGGTCAGGCAGCAGGGTGGGAAGGTATAGTGAAGTCACACAGGGCACTTGGCTCCTCAGACCTCATGTTTCCAGGGGACATTACAGGATGTTGTGAAGTTTAAATGAGCAAGTACATGGAAAGGGCTTAGCATCTGAGGCATACAGATTAAATGTCACTTGTTGCCATTATTCATCCCTTCACAGAGGAAGCTTTTTCATAGGGTTTCTTCTTAAAACAGAAGGAACTGGGACAAAAGGCAAGGTGTCATGGCAGATTTCTGCAGTCCCGTGTCACCTTACTCTAGATCCAGATTACTCAACCTTGGCACTGCTGCCATTTTGAACCAGGTGATTCTTTGTGTTGGGGCTGACCTGTGAATTGTAAGATGTTTAGCAGCATCTCTAGTCTCTCTATTCAGTAGGTGTCAGTAGACCCACCCCCACATTGTGACAACCGTAACTATCTCTCCAGACATTGCCAAACATGTCCTGGAAGCAAAGTCACTTCTAGGTTAGGAACAGCTGTATTCCATTTCCCTTGACTGTGAACGTATTTAACCTTGTAAGACATACTAGTAATTGCCAACATACACATATTTTGTTAATCCTTGCCTCCAAAGATCCTCTTCTGCCAGCTGAGTGTTTTCCATTAAGTCATCAACAGCACAGGAGTAGTTTGGTCTCAACACGGCAGCCTCAGCCTTGTGCTGTGGCCCATAACATCCCACAACTTGTGCTTTCTGCAGCAAATTGCAATCGCAAGAGAAGGGGACTTGCTGACTAAGGAGCGTCTCTGCTGTGGCCTGTCTATGTTTGAAGTCATCCTGACGCGGATCCGGACCTTTTTGGATGACCCTATCTGGCGTGGGCCTCTACCCAGCAACGGGGTCATGCATGTGGATGAGTGTGTGGAGTTCCACAGGCTGTGGAGTGCCATGCAGTTTGTCTACTGCATTCCTGTGGGGACACACGAGTTTACAGTGGAGTAAGTGCATGCTCACTGTGATGCTTTGGAACAGGACAAAATTCCAGTGGAGGTGGAAGAGCTGGTGGAGGAGGTGGCAGCATCAGTGTGAGGCCAACACAGCTGATAAGTTCTTCTGGAAAGGGACCAGACACTGAACTGCTTTAAAGGGTGGTTTCATACTTGATGCCAAAGAGAAGACTCAGGATTAGTGTCCATAGTCTCTGAACCCATAGCAACTGAATGCAAATTGGGCGTGCCATGTTCTGGGTGGGATGTCCATAAGGTCATTCTTCACAGAAGATCTGTGATCTTAAAAAAGGGTTAGGAAACTGTATGCCAGAGAAACCCAAAAAAGAAATTTACCCCAAACAAGAATATCATCTGTTGCTCAGCATTCTCCTCGCTGCACAGGTGACTGGATGAAGATAGTAATGCCTACAGCTTGGCTGGTGGCCCCTGGAGACAGACTCATAAAGGACTTGCTCATTGTTTATTCATCTCCCATTCTGTTCATTGCTTTTTGACTGCAGGCAGTGTTTTGGTGATGGGCTCCACTGGGCTGGTTGCATGATCATCGTGCTTCTTGGGCAGCAGCGACGCTTTGCTGTGCTGGATTTCTGCTACCATCTACTCAAAGTCCAGAAACATGATGGCAAAGATGAGATTATAAAAAATGTGGTATGTGGACAAGGCTCTTCCACCATATGTGTCTCTATTTATTAAAAGTTGTTTGGGGGAAAATGTTTCTTTCATCTTAGTATGAAGTCTTCTATCAACCGAAACTTTCTTTGCATTCCAAAAGTGAATCTAAACATATAATTGGCAAGTAGAGCAGCCTGACAGATTAAGAATTAAGTTCCATTTTCTTTCTCTTTTCAAGGTGCTTAGATCTACTTCATATTTTACCTTGTAGGATCTGCATGTTCAGATTTTTGGCATACAATTTCAATCTTCTGGCTTCCTTCAAGTCAAAGAATGCTTTCTTGGATGCTTTTAGATCTTTTGGTCTTTGTGTTTTATTGACTCCTTGTAGTTGCATTCTAGAAAATACTCCACCATTATCATTTCAAATATTTTAGCCCTTCTTCCATTTGCTCTTGTTCTCTTCGTTTGGAACTTTAGTTAAACATGTTAAACTTTCTTATTCATTCCATTCTCTCGTCCTTTATTCTGTGGCATTTGTTTTCTCTTGCTCCCTCCCATGACCAGACACCACAGGTTTAGTGGTATAACTACCACAGATTATCGCAGTCCTCTAGATCAGCATGGCTCAGCTGGGTCCCCTACTTAAGAGTCTCGTAAGTCAAAACGAATTTGTCAGTGGTGCTGTGCTCCCCTTGGAATCTCTTTCCATTTAGGTGGTTGGCTGAGTTCAGTTCCTCACACTTGTGGGACTGAGGTCCCCATTTCCTACTGGCTGTCAGCTCCACATTCCCTCTCATGTTTTCCATATGGTACTTTCCAACAGCAGTGGGCTGAGCCATATCTGCTTCTAATCATCTTCCAGTGTTCCTTGTCATGACCTTCTTCCCTATAGCTAGAAAAGGTTCTCTGCTTTCATGGCTGTCCACTTGGGCAACAGTGTACTTGCTGTTGAAGTTCATACCCTTAGCCACATTTGCAAAGGTAACACACAGGTGCCAGGGATTGGGTGTGGACATCCTTGAAGGGCTATTCTAGTTCTCACACTTCCATTTCCTTGGTTCTCTATGCTGTATCCAGAGTACTTTTTTCAGATACATCTTTCAGGTAATTAATTCATTTCAGCTTTGTCTAATCGGAAGGTCTTGGGGGTTGGTGTATCTAAAATGGTTTCCTTGTGTGCTTGGTTATTTGCAAGCTCTTTATCTGATTTTCATCCCAAGAATTGCATTTGCTTCTGCTCATTGCCAGTGGCCATTGTCAACCTGGGACCACTTTAGTCTAATTAAAGGGTTCTATAGTGGTGGGGTCTCTAGGTATAGTACAGCTTGCTCATAGCCGAGTCTATTCTCCCACCTCAGTGTCATTGGTATGTGTCCCAGAAGCAGCCCTAGCCTCTGCTTTGCCTCCTTATGGGAAGAACCAGCAAAGCTTTTAAAATTAAGTGTTTTGGGGCTGCTGAGGTTGTAGCTCAATGGTAGAGTGCTTGCCAAGCATGTGTGAGGCGCTGGGTTCAATCCTCAGCACCACATAAAATATATATATTTTTTACACAATGAAGTCATTAAAAAATGTCTGTTATGTGTTTTTATTCTTTAGTGGGAGGGCTATCAAAGGTTCCTGTCCACAATATTAACTAACTGCAAGTCTAGAACTTATATTAGTTTACTAGTTTTTCCCCTGAACATATTGTTTTTCTCCTTTTATTCCCAGCTCTTAAATTTTTTAGTTGTCAGTGGACCTTTACTTTATTTTTATGTGGTGCTGAGGATCAAACCCACTGCCTCACACATGCTAGGCAAGCACACTGTGCCACAACCCCATCCCAGTACACAGGTTCTTTAAAAAAAAAAAAATTATATATATATATATAATTTTTTAGTTGTAGTTGGACACAATACCTTTATTTATTTTTATGTGGTGCTGAGGATCAAACCCAGTGCCTTGCATGTGCTAGGCGAGCACTGTACCACTGAGTCACAATCTCAGCCCAGTACACAGGTTCTTATATGCCTGTGAGTTGTGCAAACCTTACACTTAGCAGCATGAAACCTATGGATGAATGCATTTGAATTTAAAATATGTTCATTAATAGTGGCATTTAAAAGATGGTATGTCAATAATAGTCTGCTGTAATTTGGCAGAAAATATGAAAATGCTGTGATTTTGAAAAATGATGCATAACTGTACAAATGTTGATAGTAAAACGCCCTGATCTTAATTATTATAATTACAGCCTTTGAAGAAGATGGTGGAGAGGATTCGAAAGTTCCAGATTCTCAATGATGAGATCATCACTATCCTGGACAAGTACTTGAAGTCAGGTGATGGGGAGAGCACACCTGTGGAACATGTGCGCTGCTTTCAGCCACCCATCCACCAGTCTCTGGCCAGCAGCTAAGGGCTCAGGACTGTGCCCATGGCATTTATTAACTCTAATGGCATGTTCTTTCTGTAAACTGTTTAGTGAGATTTTTAGGGAATATTTTTCAGTATCTCTGTACCTGTTCAAGGGGGTGCTTTTCAATCTAAAATTTTAATTTTATAATATGGACTTATTTTTCTAGACTAAAATTATATGTTTTTGGAAATTAGGAAGTCTGAAAATACTGGCTGCCAATTGTTGCCATCATGTTCTTAAAAATTTGTTTGCAGTTTTCCTCTGAAATGTTCCAGTAGCCACCTGTCAGAATGCTGCTGAGTTCCTTCACTTACCCCTTAAGAAATGTAATACCAGCTAACTGTATTAAAATCCTATGCCAATTACCACTAAACTTTGTTTCATATTTGTTTAGGGATTTTTCTGATGGTCTTTTATGAAGAATTTTTTCTAAGTCATTGTCCCCATCCCTCTTGTGTCAGTGTTTCAGACAGTGAATTTGATTCCTCTGCTTCTGCTAAATCCAATTGTGACAAATTAACTTGTGAGATATGACTTAAAGGTTAGAGAAATAAAACTAATGAAACCCAATTGTGTTACTACAACCTGTCCTTGTTCTGTCTCTTATATCCAAGTTTACAGATGGGGTTCAGATTGAAGTCTGGGTCACTTTCAGCATTTTGAGGTGGGACATGATTAAAATGCTACTCTTCTGATCAGCACACAAATTTGCTTCATATTTAGGTTTTGGCAGGGATGAAATGAAAGCCAAGCCAGTAAGATATAAGACAACAGCTGTGTTGGCTGCTTCATTCTGGACATGAAGAAAGGACATGTATTGCCTTTATGTCATGTTATCCTATGACCTGGAGGCGAGCAGTTTGGGAAATGATTGACCTGGGACATAGAAGGACTGAGAAGACCTTAAATCCTGTCCCTAACCACTTTAGCTGTTATTCCCAAAGGCTAGGTGAACTGCCTCATGTAGATGGAGTTGGTCCTGTAGTTGGTGATCTTTCAAATGAAAGTTTTGATCAGAATCTGACCTACTACTAGAATTATAGAAATAGATAAAAATGGTTGAGAACTGGATACATTGGCACATATCTGTAGTCCCAGCTACTCAGGAGGCTCAGGTGGAACCACTTGATGTAGGAGTTCAAGGCCGGCCTGGGCAACATAGTGAGACCCTGTTTCAAAAAATTTGCATTATGGGACTAGGAAAAATCCAAATCTAGGAGCTTCAAGTTTCAGCTGGGTTTCAACCCTCACACCACAAATATATTACATGGAAGGTTGCAGTCAAGAATTTCTAACAGCTCCTTAGAGCACCAATAATAAAAGAAAGCTGGAAAAAGGACATTTCACAAAATTGGAGAATGTCAACTCTACCCTGATGAGGTCAACAAAAGCTGCATGGCATGACAGCACAGCCTCCACATAAGACTGCAGGACTGAGTGGTGCCTCACCACGACTAGCCAATGTGTAGCTTCAGACAGAAGCTTCTGCTCTTCCTGCCACAAGTGAGGACTGGGGGAACACCCAGAGGAATGGAACTGTCAATGCTTTTTTTTTTAAAAAAAAGGCCAATGACTTGAATGAATAGAGGTTCTAGGGCTGGATGGAGTTCATTATACTTTCCTATATATTTTTGCATGTGTTTGAAATTCTCCATAACCATTTCCTTAAACAATCAAAACATTTAATGATCCAAGTAAACCCTTAAGCAAAGCAAAATACTTGGTATAAAGACTGTATTTTATAAATATTTCAAGTCCGTTCCAAGCATTTGGACTTAGAACTTTGTTTCAACTTGTCTCTTTATTATGAG